AAACTGTACAGCCTGTTGTCAATTTATTTATTCATTTCACTTAGATCTCGCCTACCCCATGTGGGCTGAGAGTGGCTTACAACATAAATAAAATACAATAGATACATAATTAAAAACCAGTTAATTGAAACAATATGGCAGCAAAAACGTACATTGTTCTAGAGCAGTCCGAAACGCCTCCTGTTAGACATTAGCAAGGTAATAAGCATCTGTAGGCTTACTATGGGCAGGGGAGGCCAAGATGGTGGAGACATCCGCCACCTCAGCCAAAGGCCCGGCGGAACAGCTTCATTTTGCACACCCTGTGGAACTGTAACAAACCCCACAGGGCCCTGATTTCAGCTGGGAGCGTGTTCCACCAGGCCGGGGCCAGGGCAGAAAAGGCCCTGGCCTAAGCTAAGTGGACATCTTTTGGGCCAGGGACTACCAGTAGAATCAGAGAGCCTGTTAGCCATGAGCAAACATCATGGAAGCCCTCCCCCCGCAAGAAGAAGAAGGAGAAGAAGGAGGAGAAGAAGGAGGAGAAGAAGGAGGAGAAGAAGGAGGAGAAGAAGGAGGAGAAGAATGACGAGAAGAATGACGAGAAGAAGGACGAGAAGAAGGACGAGAAGAAGGACGAGAAGAAGGACGAGAAGAAGGACGAGAAGAAGGAGGAGAAGATTGGATTTATACCTCACCCTTCGCTCAGAGTCTCAGAGTGGCTTACAATCTCCTTTCCCTTCCCCTCCCCACAACAGACACCCTGTGAGGTAGGTGGGGCTGAGAGAGCTCTCTTGAGAACTACCCTTGAGAGAACAGCTCTGAGAGAACTGTGGCTGGCCCAAGTTCACCCAGCAGCTGCACGTGGAGGAGTGGGGAATCAAACCCGGCTCTCCCAGATTAGAGTCTGCGCACTCAACCACGACACCAAACTGGCTCCCATGTACCATGAACATGGGCAGCCGATGTCATAGGCCGTATTTTTCTGATTGCAGATAGGTAGACAGAAAGACAGATACTTCCGGCTGTATAGCAATCAACATACAAATATTGCTGCGTAACAGTGACGCTGTGTCACAGTTCCAGGCAGACGCATCGCCAGCGAGGCACTACTTATCTTTTTCTTTTGCTGATTGAAATTGTCAATGATGACACCGATGAAGAGGTTCAGGGTGAAGAAGGAACCAAAGATGATGAAGATCACAAAGTAGAGGTACATGTACACGTTATATTCCCACTTAGGCTGCTCCTCGCGCTGAGAACACAAAAGAGAAAAACCCGTGAGACTGCTTTTTGCTGAGTCAGGCCATTTTTCTACCCAGGTAAGCATCACTGACTGGCATTGACTCTCCAGGGTGTCGGGCAGAGAAGGAACTTTCACATCACCTAAAAAGGTAAAGGTTCCCTTGCTTGAAAGCCAGTCGAGTCTGACTCTAGGGTTGCGGTGCTCCTCTCAGTTTCAAAGCCGAAGAGCCAGCGCTGTCCGAAGACGTTTCCGTGGTCATGTGGCCGGCATGACTAAACACCGAGGCGCACGGAACGCTGTTCCCTTCCCACCGAAGGGGTACCTATTTATCTACTTGCAATTTCTTGCTTTCGAACTGCTAGGTTGGCAGGAGCTGGAACCAGAGACGGGAGCTCACTCCGTCATGCGGCACACTCGGGTCTCGAACTGCTGAACTACCGACCTTCCACAGCCTGCAGTTCAGCGTCTCAACCACTTGAGCCACCGCAGCTCCTTCACATCACCTACCACCTGATATTTTCTTCAAAAAAATTCAAGATGCTGGGGATTAAATCTGGGGCCTTCCGCGTGCCAAACAGATCTGCTGCCCACGGCAATGCTCCCTCTACGTTGTGGAGTCTTGTGAGCAAAAATTCTGTTTTGTGAGCTCCTGGCATTAAAGTGGTGAGCGAGCGATTTGGGTGCTGCATCAATTAGTTTGCTCTGGAGCCATCCTTCCTGAGCGGAGACAAAAGTGTGTGAGCCGGAGGCTAAAAAACTGTGAGCTGGCTCACACTCACTCAGCTTCGAGGGAACACTGCTTCCCAGGCCCGTAGCTGGGTTTTTAAAAAAAAGATAGGGGGGCCCTTTAAAAAGTCAGGTGGCACTGAAATTCATGGCCTCCCCCCCCCACTTCTCCCTCAAAGGATTTAAAGCGTCCCTTTAAATTATTTGGAGGAGAAGCAGGGGCCGCACACCTGAACTCTGTGCAGGCATGCGCGGCCTCCCCCGTTTCTTCCCAAAACGTCATGGGGCCTTGGGAGGAAATTGGGGGACTGGTCCCCGGGAGGCCCTACTATAGCTACGGACCTGGTGCTGCCATCGATCCATGGCCCCATCCAAGAAAAAGCAAGAGAGGCTGAGAAAAAACCCATTGGCATTCTCAGACGGATTTTGCACGGTATGTCATTGACAGCAGACACAGCTCTGCCACGTTCCTTTCAGAGGTAGCCATTGACAATGTGGTGCATACTCCTGTTTGCCTTTCCACATCTGAAAATAGCGACATTGGGAAGACAGCAAACCTACAAAACAAATCTGGGATCAAGCCAGATGACTGTTTCTTCCATGCTGAAGTTAGAGAGAGACACCCACTCTTGCCCCTGGTCAGCAGGTGTTGCATTTCAGGGCTCTTTTTGTAGCAGGAACTCCTTTGCATATTAGGCGACACACCCCTATTGTAGTCAATCTTCCAAGAGCTTACAGAGCTCTTCTTACAGGGGCTGGCGATTATAAGCTTTTGGAGGATTGGCTACATTAGGGGTGTGTCGACTAATATGCAAAGGAGTTCCTGCTACAAAAAGAGCCCTGTTAAATGTTTTTTTAAACCCCGTGAACAGATGCCGCTGCCTCAACCTAAATCAGACTAGCGGATGCTCGAACACCTGCCAGTTAAGCTCACTTCCTGTTTGCCAGTGATGATCAGGCAGTCAATTAACCCACGAGCTGTTTGCAGGGAACAGGCTACTTGAGGCCATCAGACGCTGACTCCCAGCTGATGAGAGATCAGCTTCTGATTTCCTGCTGGGTAAATGTTGCCCTGTGCCTAGCAAGTTTGGGGAATGGGACGTGGGAATCAGAACTGGACTCCACTGATCACCAGGAAGTCAGGTTCTTATGATCTCCAGACCTGCAGCTATGGCGGGGCTTGGGGGAGCATAGCCCCTCTTTCTTAAAGGCACAGCCCCACAAGAATTTCTCCTGTAAATGCTCTTTTCAATAATTTTTAAACATTTTTTAAAGGCATGTGCTCCTTTAAGCAGAGTGAGATGCTGTAGTTGACTAATTCCTGCACTGAGCAAGGGGGTTGGAGTAGGTGACCTCTAGGATCCCCTCGAACTCTATGTCAAGAAACTGGTCTCCTTTAAGAGCTGAGAACTGTCATCTCAAGTGGTGGACAGCTTGCAATTGAGAGATCTATCCTGGTGACAGCTTCCTATTGGCTCAATGGCTTTTCTTTCTGCACTGAGAACTTCGGCCCCACCAGAAAACAATTTGCCCCACGTGCCACAAAATCCTAGCTATGGTCTCTTACCCTGAAAACTTTGTTGCCTGAGATGCAGCAAATCGGGGAGAGGGCTGACCTGCAGCCCAGCTGATCTCCCTTCTATTTCCCCCCACCCACAGTTGTGGGCTCTGGCTGCAGAGAAAAGGAAAGAAACGAGCTCTTTCTCCTCTCCCTTTTGCAATGCAGAGATTAAGAGCATTGCCTCTGTCCCTGCCTAGCTTGGAGTGGGGCAACAGCGCCCTTCTGCAACCCATGGAATAGGTGGTACGTTGATTCTTGTTCTCCTCTCCCCCATCTAAGAGAGTTAAAGGGTTAGCCCACTTCTGAGAATGTACCTTAGGATCTTATTGTCCACTCCAACCAGATAAGGCTCTGTTATCCTAAAACTACCTAGCAGTTCGAGAGCAAGAAATTGCAAGTTGATAAATAGGTACCACTTTGGTGGGAAGGGAACAGCGTTCCGTGCGCCTTGGTGTTCAGTCATGCCGGCCACATGACCACGGAAACGTCTTCGGACAGCACTGGCTCTTCGGCTTTGAAACGGAGATGAGCACCGCAACCCTAGAGTCAGATTCGACTGGCTTTCGAGCAAGGGAACCTTTACCTTTTAATACTTGCAACCTGGACAAGTGCCAATATAGGCCCAGGCTCACAAAGCGGCAATGGGAAAGGGCGTAAAAGCGCAAAGGCAATGTCGCCTCAGTCGTGCAAAGCCTGAAAGCCTCATGTCATTCCAACCCACCCACCCACCCCGGCTCCAATAGCCAGAGA